GAGGGTCTCAAAGGCTCGGGGAGGGGTCCCGGGGCTTGGATTTGGGCTCTCAGGACCCCAAAACCCCGAATTAAATCCCAAACCGCGGCTCCCCAAGGCTGGGGTGGGGTCCCAGGACCCCCCAGGACCCCCCGGGACCCCCAGGGACCCCCCAGGACCCCCAGGGACCCCCGACCCACCGAGCTGCTCGAGCATTTTGTCGCACTCGTCCAGGATGAAATGTTTGATGTGTTTGAGGTTCAGGCTTTTGTTCCGGGCCAGCGCCAGGATCCGGCCCGGGGTCCCCACCACGATGTGGGGACAATTCTTCTTGAGCACCTCCTCGTCCTTCTTGATGGACAGGCCCCCGAAAAACACTGCCACCTGTGCGCCCCAGAAACAGGTAAAAATCAACCTAAAATCAGCCAAAAATTACCCCAGAAACATCCCAAAAACTTCCAAAAATCACCCCCGAAAAACACTGCCACCTGTGAGCCAGAAACAGGCAAAAATCAACCTAAAATCACACAAAAATTACCCCAGAAACATCCCAAAAACACCCCAAAAACACTGCCACCTGTGAGCCCCAGAAACAGGCAAAAATTACCCAAAATCACACAAAAATTACCCCAAAAACATCCCAAAAACATCCCAGAAACACCCAAAAACACTGCCACCTGTGAGCCCCAGAAACAGGCAAAAATCAACCCAAAATCAGCCAAAAATTACCCCAGAAACATCCCAAAAACACCCCAAAAACACTGCCACCTGTGCGCCAGAAACAGGTAAAAATCAACCTAAAATCAGCCAAAAATCACCCCAGAAACATCCCAAAAACACCCCAAAATCAAACCAAAAATCACCCCAAAAACATCCCAGAAACATCCCAGAAACACTGCCACCTGTGAGCCCCAGAAACAGGCAAAAATTACCCAAAATCACACAAAAATTACCCCAAAAACATCCCAAAATCAACCCCAAAAACATCCCAAAATCAACCCAAAAATCACCCCAAAAACATCCCAAAAACACCCCAGAAACACCCCATAAACACTGCCACCTGTGAGCCAGAAAACAGCAAAAATCAACCTAAAATTACCCAAAAATCACCCCAGAAACATCCCAAAAACATCCCAAAATCAACCCAAAACCACTGCCACCTGTGCGCCAGAAACAGGCAAAAATCAACCCAAAATCAGCCAAAAATTACCCCAGAAACATCCCAAAAACATCCCAAAAACACTGCCACCTGTGCGCCCCAAAAACAGGCAAAAATCAACCTAAAATCAGCCAAAAATAACCCCCAAAAACATCCCAAAAACATCCCAAAATCAACCCAAAATCAACCCAAAAACACTGCCACCTGTGCGCCCCAAAAACAGGCAAAAATCAACCTAAAATTACCCAAAAATCAGCCCCAAAATCAACCCAAAAATCACCAAAAAAATCAACCTAAAAATCACCCAAAAATCAACC